AAATTATCGATAAAATTATCATACTGCTCGCCCCTTACTCGTTTTCGCCGAAGACCAATGTAGAATGGGTCTTTTAAGAGCGTCTGCAAGAAATGCTACGGAAAATCATTGAGTTGGTGAGTAAAGAATAATTTTTGAAAAGTAGTCGAAAGTAGCAGGGAAATTTAGTTTGTTCAAATACACACCGACACACCCATATGCATGCACAAACACAACCCATACACATGCATGTACACACCCACACATGCAAATATGCTCACATGCTTGCATACATACACAAATATACAAATATATATGTATATATACAAGTGTATATATATACATATATACATATTTTTTTTTTCGTCGCAATATGTACCTGATTTTCACAATTATGCAAAAACAAATTAATATGTTTTCAAATCTAACCTCATTATCTGTTCCAACATCCAGTACTACAGGCAAGCACCATTCTGGCTGGACGCCACCAAGCGCTACGTATAGCGATAGTTTACCCACCGGAATTCCCATGCCATAACATCCCAGGTCACCAAGACCGAGAATTCGCTCACCATCTGTCACCACGATTACCTGAAAGCAATATATTTTATTTCGGCGTAAATCTTTATCATTTGCTGTTAAGACACCACCTGTTACAGAGTTTTGAATGAGACTCAGACTTTCTAAAAACTGCCAAAAATTTTATACTTTCAAAAATAGTTGTAAAATAAAAAAGACCTTCGCTAGATACTATTTTCGCGCGTTCCTGCTATCACTGCGGTGAGCGTTTCTCAAATTTTTATGAAGTTGGCCTACATTTAGAGCAGTAAAACTAACCCGAACGTTTCTTTCCGGCCAGTTTGCGAGGATATGATGAATTTTGCTGATGGAATTGTCGTTCACTGTGATATAAAGGCCTCTGCAAAATTGAATAGCTATTTGTTTGGTCTGGTACTCTAACGAAAAAAGTGTTCAGGCGATCACGAACGGAGCGTTTGTTTTTGCATATAAGTGTGGGCTCTGGGGCAGTTGGAACAGCCTTTTTCAAATCCGGACGCGACGTGCTAAACCACAGCCCCATCTGTCACTAATGATAAGAGGTTCGATTTCCTCGCAGTTCAAATCACTCCAAGCACCGTTATGCCCAGAGCTACCTGCCTTTTTCAAAAGTTATATAAATGAAAACTTTAAATTTCAATAAGATATTGTTAATACAGAAAAGAAGTTCGTTTCGTTTTGAGCGATGCATTTCGACGGGCAGTGGTTTACTAGTGAATTAACTGAGGAAATGAATGATCAGAATTAGCCCAGGATTTACTTTGGTCTACGATAAATGAAGCCAAATTTTTGGCATGCTAGGCCAACTGTCGGCGTATAGACAACAGGAAGCAATTCCTTAACATGATCACAAATCACTCGATAGTATAATTTTTCATCGCGCTCCTAAAAATTTCAATTTACAACAGATTTATCTTCGACAGTTTCAGAATCATCAAGATATTATTTTCCTGCAGGGATTGCAAGATTTTGATGGTTTTACAATATAGACTATAACAAGACTAATAACAATGATAAAAAATAATAATAACAAAAATAATAATGATAATAATGCGTATTGCCAATTCAAATTATTTTTATGCGAAATTCTCACTAAAACCAAAACCAGTGCAAAATTTTTGTTATCATATCACTCGCCAGAGCTGCATGGGCGTTCACGGAAATCCAACACAACCCCAATTACCAAGAATACCGAAACCCGCACAAACACTCTGAGGATACCACGCTAGCTGGGGAAAACCTCCATCTTTCCGGAAGCAGTTACCTCAGGTTCCTTAATCCTCACCAATATAACATTATTTAGTACCCGTTGATTATTCGGTATATGTGCGCTACTCCTTCAAAAGCGGACTAAATTTTCTTTCACTTCCTCTTATTCAAAATGAAAATAGTGTCCAGAAATCATCATAGCTATGACCAAAAGCCGACTCATGCAAAATTCACGAACCTGCAAACTGTCCAGTTGCACGTATCGTGCTAAATCATCTGGTTGCTGCCTGAGTTTGGTAATGACTCGATATGCCTGTTGATCTTCTGACATACATGCTGGAGGAAGTAAACCGTGAATACCAAAGTACTGACGTTCGTACAACGTGAATGCCATCCCCTTCAATGCAGTCATGATTTGAAGTTTTCTAAAATCCGGGTTGCTAATGTAGAAGCCCTAATAAAGCAAAGACGGAATTATGTGCCGAGCATCTGCCCTTCCTGGGCTTATTGCATCTAGTGCACCAACGCGATGGCTTTTTCTTTATTTTAAGCTCAAAAGAAAATATAGACAGGAATCGCACCTATGCTTGGAAACAAGACCTTTTAGAGTGGGGCAAAAATGAAGCAGGGGAGGGGGCGCCTCGAAGAAATTTCGCGCAAAATTTGGAACACACGCAAAACACGCTAAAGTAATCATATTTGCAACCCAGCACTGTGAGCATGCAGCAGGAGATTTCATGGCTCTGCAAAAAATACGTTATATAAACCTACGAATCCTCCCAATATTTTTTAAATATTTCTATGAGAAGCGTGAATCCAGTGAGAAGTAAGAATTTTCTTTTCGTTCACACTCTATTTGAAGAGTGAAAGCACTCAGAAGCAGCACGAGCTAAAATAAATACCAATAACAACCATACGCAGGCAAGTTTTCGATGGCTTCATTTTTTGAGGGCTGCTTAGAAGTATGCGCAAAGGGAGAATACAATACTTTGCAGAAGCGATTGTCTCTGAGGAACTCGATGCCCCGTTTTTTTGGCGTTTCACGTTCACGTCTGTACAGTTTGTACACTTTGATGTCTTCTTCTGTGGTACCGGATTCCGGTGGTGGCCGTTCATCGTCTGGATCTTTTTTGTTGTTCCACGCTCCAGTTGTTGTTATTAGTGTTCGACTATAATTTCAGTATACTGTGTTTGAAATACAGTATTTCACTTGAACAGTGGGCAGGGAACACCAATGTTGCTAGGATTTGCTTGCAGTTCCAACGCCTCATCTGTAATTCTAATAAAAAGCCGCAACAACGCCTCATATGGCGGTTTGACCCAGTGCATGAGTGGCTAAGCGATCAAATCTACTGCTTCATATGTTGCGATAATTTTTATGAACAGGGAGCATCGTCCTAAAATTTCAGCTTTCTTGCTTTTCTTGTTGTTGAGTTGAAACTCCTGGAAATATAAAGAGTCTCAACCCTTGTTGTTGCTTCGCAAAACGCCTAAAAAGCTGGGATTTTTAAGAATGACGGCCATTTTAGTTGACGAGCACTAGACTAAGGTTAAATCTTTGTGCAAGTCCTGAAAGTTAATCCTTGTTTGCAGATACTACCTAAATAAGTGAGATTACCCGGATTTTGTACAGCTTTTCAGTCCTTTTCGTAATAATGCATAAAATTGATATATTTATTTTGAAAAATGACTACCTCTGAGTTACTGTTTTCAACTTTTCACATCTGACTCTTGACAGCGCTAGTAATGCTGAATCGAGATTAAGTCTGCTCTGAAATTAATCAAAGGGGGATGAATTAGTCCAAAAACGCTTTGGTTCAGTTCTCCATACATACACCAGAAAAAAGCACGCACCGGAAATGTAAACTTCGCCCAAGCGTTACACTGAGTATTTTATGTTAGATGTCGGCTGCTGACAGCACTTGCTACCACTCTGATCACTTCGCAAATGCCCTCTTCTCACAGAGAACAGACTTGCAGAGGTCTTAATCTTTGATTTGGTAAATTTTAAACACAAGCAGCCCCGAATAAGGGGACATGTGCTCTTCATTCCCCTTTCCTCATACTGTTCGTGTGCTGCTGTATTATGTATGAGTTAGCAACCTCATTCAGTAATGTGAGAAGACGACCATTCCACATTGTTATTCAATACCGTAATAAGTGATATTCTCGCAGTTCAGCAATTTATAGGGCCAGAAATTTGGGTAAAATTTATGCACAATACTAAATTTATCCCTTAAATTTATGCTCATTGTAGCACTGCTGCAGCGTGGATATCATTTGGTACACACGTATCTCCCACAGAAACGCTCATGTATACTACGAAATGGTGCAGACAACATACGTATTCCCTACGCAGACAAAATACGTACACCAACAGCATACATATATTGTCTATGCCATTTCGTGGTGTAAGTGGGCGGACAACTTCTGTTTTCTGAATTTACTTGGACAACTTTTGTATAATATTTGTATTCTGAATCTTCCGTGATCGTCTGACTGCTCACGTGGGTTTGTTATGATATAGAGATGAACTAACACGTCGGATACAGTTGTGCTACAACGGTGGGCACAGTTGTGCTGATTACACTATGCTGCATGTCTCCAGTGAGTACCTTTGATTTCTTCTATGTAAGCGCTGTTAAGCGGTCATTTCTCATGCGACTCGAGTGGTCGCTGTCTTTTTTAAAGAACTAGCTCAGTGATATGCTACTAGCGGTAATAGTCATCCACCAGGTCCACAGAAACACGCAACTGCTTACGCTTCGATGTTAATTCGCAAGCTCGGCATATCGGTAGATGGTATCGATTTTGGTACTGGTATGTCTACCGCGTGACAGCAAAATATTTTGTCTGTATTGAATTTCACTCCTAAAACTGGATAAAACTACACAAATAAGACAGCAACTCCAATTCATACTGTGCCTCTTTTGCGTCTATGCTACTAGCATCGCCCTACATCACGGAAGTCTCGCGAAAAACCGGCATGTGCTGATGTGTTAAGAGTGTGCTCAGCGAGCTTGGGCAAGTTGTGGTGCAGCGGTTTAGCACTTCGCATTCGAATGTGAAGACGAATGGTTCGACTTCCTCCCACTCCGCATCTTCATTCGCCATACCGAGTGGATAGCAATCTGAACATTCGTATGCTGGTGACCTTGAAGCTTAATTCATCACTGGAGGGATTAGCAGCTAAGCAGAAGTTTAGTTTCATTGACATAAAACAACATGCAGTTTGCAGTGTGTATTGCGTAGAACCAAATGCAGTTACTAAATTAAGTAGTTCATTCATCTGAATCGATGAGTAATGAAGAAATGCGCACTGACCAATTCACAAATTACTGTAATCATCAGAACATTTCCGTGAAGAGATCTTTTTTTTGCATAAAATGAGACGAATAGACAGATACAAAGAGAATTACTGTAAGTTGTTAAGTACTGATATTATTTAAAGCTAACAGGAAAAAAAGTTTTTTTCAGGATGATGTTGAGCCGAAACAGCTTTAACAGCGACGGACATAACAAGAATCACTACTTAAGAACGACAAGAAGCAAACCGCAGTAAACCTAGGAACTGTAAGTTTTGTCAGACTGAGCTCGGCTTCTATAGCCCATTAAATACTCAGCAACAAATGACATTCCGGGAGATAGGGCACTTGTGGCGGGTGATGTTTTGAGAATTTGAAACAGCTGCCAACCTTAACTTTTTAGTGTGTTATTATAAAAATTTGCAAATTAGAAATTGCTAAAGTGCAGAAAAACGAGCCGAAATCGACTCACATCGAAAAAAGCTGTTCTCGCGCAACATTGAGCAGTGGAACTGTATTACTGTAAATGGCAATATCTGATACTATAACAATGGCCAATATATCTTATTTCCTTTTATTACTCCTCACTCTAAAATTACTTACTTAATCCTCCTTTACAATTTGAGAAGAATGGAGAAATCGCTAGCTGCATCAATGGCGGGAAGTAACGCAACAGTGAAACAACAGATTGTTAAGTATTGCCTCCGAGCTTACGCTTCTGGTCGCATTAGTTCCATAATCGGTAATAAAACCAACCTCCAATCGGCCACTGCCAAAAAAGCGAATGGCTAATTTTGTATCATTTTAACTAGAAGTTTTTAAGCAAATTCTTACACACCGCACAGTTTTGGAGGGAGAAATGTAGACAACAACAGTAACAATAAAAAACGACACCAGAAACGACAAATCTATAGCATAACAATTCTAAAAGATCCCAAGTATACCGCCTCGAGAGGGAGGACAAAAAAAAACCTGTTTGTTTCTTTAAAGGCAGATACGTGATAGATGTGCTTGCAGGCCATTCCTGGGACACAGGGACTGGCGGTACAGTGGATCTCACGTCGCGTTCAGACGTGAAGACGAGTGGTTATGCGTTCATTTCTTTTTTCCCTGTGGCATCCATTTAAAAAACAGCTCTGGACAAGACAGTGGGTCCCTTTATTACTGATACTTACCCACTTATCATTCCTTGTACCTCATTTAAATTTTTTCAGCCACCTAAGTCGATAAATTAAATACAAAAATACCAAGACTGACCAAACAGACGTTCATAAACTAATCACATGCTTCAAAGAAACATAGATACACTTTTCTGGGAAACACAAGTACTCCTAGTAAACCCATAAACAAAAAATTTTTACAGTATTTAAATGATACAGTATTTCTGGGCGTTTTAAAAAAAAGAAAGAGAGTATTAGATCATTAAGAGAGAAGTAGAGAGAGGAAGATTTCGAAACTGACACAGAAAATAATAACTACTGAAACAACTATTAATAACCTTAATTTGTGATCATGCCGAGTAATATCAAATAGTAGCGCAAAACAATGATCGGCTGATTATGCATTTTTGTGATAAGCTGTTATAACTAACCGTGACTTAATGAGACAAAACACGAAGCACTTTGCCTTATCATAATATATAGTTTTTGATCCAACTGTTCAATGCTGATATTCGATTAAAAGCATATATATATATATGTTACAGCTACGATTGTATTAACGAAACATTCCTTTTCAGTTTTTTTTTCGCTTTCGACTATAACGCAATAATAATTTTCCTTATAAATTATATCTATAATAAGTATTTTTTCAGCCTGCTTTATATTTATAGCCCTTCCCACTCTTTCCTACTTCTCGCTTGTCGCTTTCAAAATATTATCTTCATCAGTATAATGAAAAAGTCGAGAAAAATTGTCTCCCAAATCTCTAACTTTTTTTGCTTTTGTACTTCTGGATGCACAGACAGATATGTTTTCGCTAAAATGCGTTTCCTCACCAACAGTGATGCACAAACACAAAAATACAACACAATTTATAAAAAGACACATAAAGACACAGAGAGACACACAAAAACGCACACGAAGTCATGTTGAAAAACGCGCAAAGTTGCAGTATTCGGACCACTAGACTGCCTCAGAAAAACCCACACTACCACACAACTATTATTTCGTCCGGTAGAAAATAGCCACTGGCTAATACAGTAAATCGGCACTTTTCTACTGCGTGAGATAAAGCCTGGACATTCTGTAGTTAAAACGAACGAAAAAATGTTAGAACGGAAAAAAACTAAATTTTGCTCCCACAAACAAATGGCCGCTGGATTTGACAGGACTCCTGATAAGGGGAAGAAACGCGATGATGAAACAGCGGATATTAAAAACATGGAAACATGGAGAATGGTGCTTATTTTAGTCCAGCTCACACTAGCCTTGTGGAAAATGACCACTGATTGTTTGAAAAAAGGGCTCAGAATGAACTGGCCTCGAGTGTCCTTTAAAAACAGATTTCAAATTTTCATTTCATGATCACTCCCACGCTGTCTAAAAATTGGAAGAATGTTAAAGTAGAGTATTATGAAGCGCTCAATCACAAAGAAGCCTGGATTTTGCACTGGTTTTGAACAAATCAACAAGTAAATAGCACTGGAAATACCACTACTCGTCTACGCTTTCCCGACGAACAACTGGAACCGGGAAACCATGCTTCATATCCTGGGATGGCCAATCGTATGTGACATTGATGAGTTCGTCATATGAAGTTTGGTAAATCTGTGAACGCACAAACTGCTCCATATCTTCTGGTTTTGGATATCGTGCTGCAGTCCCGTTCTGAAACAAACATGTGATTAATTGCATTATTTTGCCCTTGAAAACCTCTACACGATTAATCAGAAAATCTAAGCAAAAAAAAAAAAAAAATGAAGAAATTGCCAGCTGCATCAACGGCGAGAAGAAACGCGACGATGAAACAGTAGTTGATTGAAATATCAAAAAATATGATTAATCCTCGTCAAAGGGTTTTCTGTCGCATATCCTAGTATGAGCGAAAACTGTTGCGACTGAGCGCAAAGAGAATCGCAGTGTAAGTAAGCTAGAGAATTCAAGCCGTGCAGAACTGTGGAAGATTTTAGTATTTCTCTTTGAAGAAGTAAGGAAAAAATAAGGAAGAAGATCGACACTGCAGATTGATCATCAGCTGAGGCAGCTACGATTACAGTAACCAGTGGAGATTTACGAGTATGCAGAAGATGCATCGGCGATGAAGTTTGAGTTCATGAGCTCAACAAAGGGTGATGTAAGCTTGGTCAGAGAACGAAATCTGAGATATCCATGGTTTTTTTTCTTGCGTCTGGCACCATTTGACACCATCCATTAATCCATCAAGAAATTCATCAATTAATCCAAAATTTCATCTAATTATTAATCTAAACTATTAATAAACTACCCAGAAAATAAATTTCCGAAGTACCCATCTTATTGTTGGTCCTATTTGCTAACTGTTATGCGCCTACACAACATATGCAGCTGTTACCAGTCAAAAAGTTAGGATGCGTAGTTCCAAATCACTAGCCAAAGGGTCGGAACGAATGATTCTAAAAGTACAGTAAAAAATCCTCAACAAAGCAGGAGAAATGGAAGATAAGGCGAATCTTTTTTTTTTGTTTCGTGCTTGAAATAATCTCCAATTATACCTGATACCCATGTTCACCAACAGCAACTGCAATTTTAATTGAAACTTCACGGATTCGATTCAGTCTCGGATACACTCGTCCAACTTTGAAATCTTTGTCGCCTACACAGTTTGCCACTTCCTATAATAAAACAGATTTCTAATATTTTGACAACATTATCCAGCCTGCTGGTGTCACATACGGGGTCCCTTTGTGCAAACGACTACGGACGACTATGGACCGAAACGAAATCGAACTCAGACTGAAGAATGGATATGCAAAGCTTAAGATTGAAGGATCTGAAATAACTGCTACTAGTGCGCCTTTATACTTTAACTTCACATTCGAACGGGCCTGGGGTTAGTGGACGGCTTCTAGACAAGAAAAACCAGAATATTTTAGGACAAACCCTTGCAGCAATCAAAAATGTTTCATCATCGATGTGGCGCATGTGGAAAAGAATGGCGCCAAGGCCAACACCAGGGAAAATGTACGCATTATTTCCTTGACCTGGCTTGTACGTTCTTCCTTTATAAGTAACATTCGCAAACGGACTACCACTTGCAAACAGTACTTTTCCCTGAAAATGATAAACCAGACTTTTTTCCATAATTGGAGGAAGTCTGAAAAAATAATTCTTGTCGACTAAGCCGAGCATGTTTCTCAGCTATGATGATTGAGTTTGAAAAATGTGCAGCAGCCGTTACCAGCCCATGTAATCGGCGCGAAATATTGGAGAAGAAATCC